CGGGCGCCCCAACACCCATTAAATTTTTTAAGATTAAAATTTGGTTCGATCATTTGTTTTAAAATGCTCGACGATTTAGTGAGAAGATCCTTTATCTTTTAAAAGTGTCATGGTTTCTCACTTTTTATCATTAGACTCAAAAAGAACTATTTAATTTAAAAGAACCATTTTGCATTTTTTTTTAAATGTCCCAACAGTCCTGAAGTGAAATTATTTTCAAGAGTCCTAAGCTGAGGTTTGGTTCGATGGTATTGGGGTATAATTTTTCTTGCTGTTGTATCTGACCTGTCTGTCTCGTCTTATCCCATCCAGCTGTTTGCCCTGCAGACAGAGAGTCGGGACCAGAGAGAAGGAGACGAGATGGTCCACCACAAGCTGCCGGTGTACGTCCAGAACATGGACCGACTTGGAGACACTGAGCTGTGAGACACTAACATCACTGTCTTTACTGATGACTGACTGCAACTAAGATGGCTGCCATTCTGTTGCTTTTTTAAATGTTAAATGTGTTGACTTGATTTAAAAGACAACATAATGGTTTTAACCAAAGTTTTTACTAGACCAAGAGTTGATACTTTTCTGATCTGATCTCACTGAGCTCGGGGGGTTTGGCACTTCTTTGATGTACCCAAGATGGTTGCCATGCTTTGAATGAAATGAAAGTATTGTGCTTCCGATGTATTAGAATCTCTGGATATAAACCGCTACAACAGAGATACATTAGCCGGTATAAACAAAGGTCTGGTTTTATATCAGATTACGCACTTATCTGTATTATGTGTTATTACAGATGACAGCCATCTTAAATCTTCTCTCTTAAAGGTCTTTCAAAATGTTAATCAGAGCATCCATCCATTGCAATATTGTCACTTTCATCCTGAAGGTTTTTTTTTCTTACCACCAAACACAGGACAGATGCATCAATTGTTTCTGATTTTAGCACTTTAGCATGCTAGCTTGTTGTTCAGTTTTACCTCACTGCATTGACTGACTGCATTTGTTTTACTGGTATTTTATTTTAAAGGTTTCACTATGAAGTCTAATATGCCAATTGTATGGAGTAGAATTCTTTGTTTGGTGAATGTTAGGACATAACATGGCCAACCTCCGGCTAAATGAAGGGTGCCAAAGTTCAGTACATTTCCATTTTGCAACAGTTGAGCAAGCCTTGGTCAACTTTCTCCTTTCCTGTACATAGATGTGCTATCTACGCACATTTTGAAGATGGTTAAAAGATAAAAGTGACATAGTCACATCTTAAGTTAGCTAATGTTATGAAAATGCTAGCTAACTAATGATTGTTATAAATTAGCTAGTTAGCTAGCATTTTACTTACATTAGCTATTAAATGTAACTAACTATTTAAATTTGCTAGCTAGTTAGCTAACGCTTTGCTAACATTAGCTAACTTAAAGATGTGACTACTTACTATTACTACTGTTATTGGATTACATAGCATTGATTCGTTGTGGTGTTAATGGTCTTTTGTAGAAACAGCTGTATCATGAGAAGAAAACATAATGAGGAGGAAGAAATGTGAGGAAGTTTTAGTAGGAAGTGAAGTTGTATAGCTTCAGGCTGTCATTCAGAGACCTCATATATCTTCATCGCAGAATCACTTTTAATAGAATTTTTAGGTACTTTAAGCCGACAAAACTGCTGAGTTATTTTATGTGTTAATTCATATAAAAGATATATTTAAAAAGCTTTTCACTAACTTATTGTTAATGATACAGTATTTATGATATTTTTACACTGTGTGCTGTGATGCAGTTGATGTTGCCAAATAAACAATTCACCTTATGAATTGTAGTTTCGTGTCAGTACGATCCATTTTTAAAAAAAAATTTAGTCAGTTTTCACATGCTGACGGAGGACTGACTGCGGCGACAAATACAGTCTGCTCTAAAATTAATATGACTAGTCGGAAACTTAATTACACAGTAAAAAATAATTAGATTTCGAGCATAGAATTTCATTTTAAATTATTGGTAGGCCAGTAGGTAAAAATGTATATTAAACGTCCAGAGTGTAACATTTAGGAGG